ATAAATGGAAAGAATATTTGTTTGTTTGAGTATTTGTATTATTGATGAATATTTTTATTAATATTTTTATTTATAATGTCTCAAATTCAAATACCAGTGGAGATTGGGAAATATGAATATGTCATGTGTGATTATATATGGAATAATCCGTTATCAAATAATTAAGTAATATCAACCCTTGCAATGTCAGTGTTAAATAAGTTATGATTTGAAAAAAAATATAACCAAACATACTAGTGATGTAGCAAAGTTATTATCCAATTTGAGATATGACACATTATAGTACATCACACACACATTAAAAACAAATGAATGAGTTGGTGGAGGGGTTAGTACAGAACTGTAATTAATTTTTATTTTTTAAAGTGATATTGATATGCAATTACTAATTTATTTTTTTAATTATTTTTGTAAGCTTATTGATATGGCGGGTGGATGCTGGTGTGGAAATCTCATAAGAATAGATGTTCATCAAGGATTGTGTACTTTCCTTGCAACATATCAGTAAGTTAAATTAGTAAACGTATATATAAAATGAAGTGTTATGGGTAATCAATATGTAACGATTTGAAGGAGAATCACATCACATGATTTTAGAATCGAAAGTATCAAATAAGTATGTTAAGGAGGTTTATGGTCCCGTGTTCAATGACTATGCTCTCGTTAGCGATTGTGATAATATAAGAATAATTATTTTTGCAAATGTTACATCTAATTTATTATAAAGAAAAATTATATTTTGTTAAATTACGTATGACATGTAATTACATGGATCATGATGCCAATGAATAACAATGGTGTTGGATATGATTTTTGCGGGAAACAAGACTATATGATAGTCTATATGTTTAGCCAAGGGAAAAAAAGGAGAGTGCAAGATGCGAATAAATTGGTGATGAATGATATAAAATTAAATTTATATTGCATGTTATATTTTAGATAACGGTAGTAATCTAAGTTGATATATTTTAAAGCAGATGAGATTATTAGAAAAATCTTTTCAGGATCCATTTTTTAAGAAGGAATTTGGGATGACTAAGCAACCATTGAAAGATTTGAAATTAGTGGTGGAGAAAACGAAAGAGCAAGTGAATGGGTATTCATTTTGACAATTTAGAAACATCATTTGTCTAATACTTGTGAAAGTGGTGTAAATCGTATTTGACAATAAATATTATTGTACAAATATGATTGCAACATTTATGTGGTAAGGTGAATGGAAGCGTAATATAGGAGGATAATAGAGGAAGTGGTAAGTGGTTTGATAAAATATATTTTTATAAAATTTAAATACAATTTGAAATTGAATGATGTTGTAATGGACTGACAATTCAGATATAAGTTGTTGGAGAATGAGATCCTAAGAGACTATTAAGCAATCTCATGTCATGAAGGAAATGCAAAAAAACAAAAAATGGAATAACACATGTTAGCATAAGACATCAGTACGAGAAAGTGAAACATGCATATCAATACGGTGAACATGAAATAAATAATATTCCTACATAATTTCAAGTCTTCTTTGGCCCATGTAATGCCTTCAACTCACTTGAATTTCCGTGTCATGTTACATTTCACCTCCTCTTACTTCCAAAGATCCTCTTATTTCCTCTCTTCTACCTTTTTTGCTGGATTTTCTTCAAATTTTCATACCTTACATTTCGTGTCCTTGTGTTCATGCACTTCCCTTCTATAGAGAACCTCTTATTTTCTCTAATTTTCTTTTTCTTCTTTTTTTTGCTGGAATTTTTCTAATTTTCATACCTTTTGCTGGGGACATTTCGTGTCCTTTTGTTCATGCACTTCCCTTCTATATAGATCAGAGTTTGGGAATAAAGATCAAGCTAACACTATATATTTTAAAAAAATCTAATAAAAAGAGCATTCAATTGTTCAAATTAAAATTATTATTTTTTTGATTAATCCAGTGATAGTATTTATTTTAAAAATTCTCAATCAATTTGACGATGAACGCTCAAACACCATATAATTACTGGTGCTTGAACTTGAGACCTCTAAAGATAATAGTTATCCCTTCAACCATTAAAATCATTTGGTTTGTACAAAAGCAAATTATTTTTAAAACATTAGTTAAGAAGTAAACAAATTTTGATATCTACAAAATTATACGTGGCTTACCATTCTTTAAAGTGTTAAATAGATTTTAATTAATTATAATTTATTTTAACATCAAATCAAAACTATAAAAAATAATTTTTAAGGGATAGGAAGGTGGGTATCATATAACATCTAATATGATGGTTTATTATGATTTAATAGATTGCCTAACATAATGATTAAATCATGTACAATATACTAGATGGTTTGAAAGATAACCTAATAACATTCTCAAAATCAGATTTCTCTGCTGACTGCTGAGATCAAAAAATCTATTAATAGCTCTTCGAATAAACTTGACAGTCCCTCGATTATTTTGGGGGTAGGCTGTCCAACTCAAAACTTAATGGACTAGAAGTGTAACTTCACGCAAAACAAAACATGCCACGTCACTGATGACGCATGCCAACTTCCAAATAGTTGGTTTTTTCTTCTTCTCTTTTCACCAACCATGCAAGCACAATGGAATCTGGTTGAAGGAGTTAGAAATGTATTTCTCCTCCAAAGTTTGAATAATTCAAACTCTCCAAAGGCATGCCATGAAACTGCTGAAAACTACAGCTATAAACAACTAATGGTAATTTCCAACTTCTTTTTCGCCGAAAAATGCATTTTTGTTTCTAACTTTATTTTTAGGGTGTAATTCAATCATTTTTCTAGGGTTAACTATACGAATGATCACTTATGTTTTTGTTTTGTCAACTTTTCCTTATTGATTTTAAAAAATTTAATATATAATCATTTTCGCTTTTATTTAATTATGATGTGGTCACAAAGTTAACCGCCGTTAAATAATTTTGGTATAATCACACATTTGATATATATTATTTTAATTTAGTCTTACTTTCAAATAAAAATAAAAATAAAATATTTTTTTGAAATGATTTAATAATAAAATATTTTTAATATGATAAAAATATTTCTTAAAGTTAATATATATATATAATATTTTGAATTTAAGTTAAATATTTATATACTAAAATACAAAATATATACATCATATTGTCTATTTTAGACCAAACATTGGTATTGGCCCAATGGTTGGATATATGCTTGGTTTTCTAAGAGATCCATGTTTAATTGGATAATTAAATTTATTTTAATTTATTAAAAATATAACTAAATTAAAAGAATATATAAATAACAAAAATCAAATGTGTAATTCACGTCACCTAAGTAACCGCTATTAATGCCTCAAATAAAAACCACAGTAGACAAACATATCAGGTATTAACCCTTTTTTTATCATCATTATTGTTTCTTGTGAATTATAAAATTCAAATAATTTAGTCCCATAAAAGATTAACATGCTCAGAACATTTAAAAATTAAATAAATTCGACACGTTCTCAGAAATTACACCACAAAAAGGAGAAATTCGACAACGCCAGCCTATGGATTTCCTTGGCGACCAAGTCAAATTGAAAGGCTTACCGATTATCGACACCACTAATGAAGTTTCGCGCGTCTCCAACACTCCAACCCACAATGGCCTATAAATTTGCTACTTCCCAGGTCCCATGCTTGGCCAAAACGTTCATTCCATTCTTGCTCCCAATCGTGTGCTTTCAAAAACAAAGCCTACCAAAATATCTCATCTTCAATCTAATAAAGTTTTCTTTTTTAATCAGTGTATCAATGGCAACAGCTGGTCTTGGAGTCAGACTCGCAGAAGCTTACGTGATGCGCTCTCTACATAAGCAGAAGATGAAGAAAATGGAAGGGCAGGAAGCTAATAAGAGTGGTGATAAGATGTTTGATGAAATGGAAACCCCTCCAGCCGCTGGTTGTTTCTCCTTCTTGGTGCCTAGGAAAACCCATTCCGCCAAGGTTATAGTTCTACACAAAAATCTCTCTAGGAACCAAAAATGGGATCGCAAATGCTGCTTGAGGAGCACGTTGGGTTTTATTTTAGTGATGTTTGGTTCACTATTTTTTTGGTTCCTTACGGTTAATGGGCTGTTAGAGTCAGTTAAGTGGACTATAAAATATTGCACTGGGCTGTGAATCGAACAATGCAAAAAAAAAAAAAAAACGCTTTGTTCGTGAAATTCTAGAGCTCATTTGTTCATCTCATATCTTCTACTTCTTATGAAGAATTATTGTTATTCTTTAACACCTTGATCGTTTAGGTTGATATAAGTAGATGATTTGGAATTTATGTGGTGAAGAACTGAAGATTATGTACCCTTTTGATTCTTGTTTGTACCAAAATTGGACACAATATCAACTAGATTACTCCAATATTTTTGTTCATGTATATATATATATATATATAAATTAAGCACAAATAAGATTTATTTATTTAATTTTATGAGTTTATACTAAATATAATATAATACATTTGGTTTTAGACTTTTAATCCAAATAGTTTGGATTTTGTTTCAAGTTAATGTTTAAAAAAATATGATAGTTGTGAATGTTAATGAGAGTTTACTTTTAATGTAGATGGAAAATCACAAATTAGCGTAGTATGAGAGAATGATGATTACTTTTGGAAAGTAAAATAGAATTCTCGAGGAGGGGGAACCTTTATTTTGTTGAGGGAGAAGAATAATAGGGTTTTATTTCTAAAGTCATAAGTTTAAGAGTAAAATAAGTATTGATAGTGATAGATAAGATGTTTGGTGATGGAGGGAACATTTAATGAATCTTACTGATATATATTTATGAAGGATATAATACGTTGGTTTCTGACTTTTCTGAAGTAATGGCCAAGTGTTGGGGAGTTGGCCACATCACTGGACCGAACAGAGTTAAGGTTTTTGACCAGATTAATGCCGAGTCATGTTTTTGAAGATTGCTACACTTTGTTAAAATGAAAAAGTCACTATATATGTTATGTAGATAAGTACAACATTTCATTCATTCTCCCTAAATCTGTGTTTCATTCTTTTGCACCATACCTCTCTCTCTATCTACCCTTTATTGCCTTACCTGGGTTTGCCTTGTGCTTTCTTTTCTCGTCCCCAACTCTTTTTTTATTATTAATCATCCCCAACTTCACATGCCCCCCCTTTTTTGTCTTTTTAATTATTTCTGCTGCCACCAGAATTGGAATCCTGAAACATCGCAATGTTGAAAAATTGGCAATTTCAACAACAAATTTAACAGGAAGTGGCATCAGCAATCTCATTAGGCAGCTACAAGATTGTGCATAAACAGCTGCTTTTCTTTGGAGAATCATCCTCTTGTTTCTCTGCGGATAAAATTTCACGAGTTAAGACACACGGATGCGTCGAAATAGAATACATTATTAGCATGTTAAAATTCACCTAAACATATAACATCTTAAACAAGATCAAATGAGAGAAATGATAATTTTGGAAGCAATTCTTTTTGTTGAGTAAATGTTAATGCAGATGTTCATTTTGTCTTCAAATATAAAAACTCGACTCCTATGTCTTATTACAAGTTTTCTGTTTCTGCAAAGCTTCGCTAACCGAAAATACAACAGCAGGTATACATGAGTGTCGTCGATTACCGTTGCTTTTGTTTGACAAAGGAAGGCGAAGAACGACATGCATCGTGATTACACCGCCCGGAAGTTCACCAACCAGGAGACTGCAGTCAGCAACTGTACTGTTGTTTTCGAGTATTTTTCCACCATTAATTAGCTTCACATCTTGTATTGTGTTTGGGCAATTTTCTTTGTCTGCAAAACAGAGAAGAGTTTTCCATATGAAAACAGAATCCAATCATGTACCCCAAGCACAATTTTGAAGGTCATTCGAGATAAGGAAAAGGGTTGCAGATATACCTTCTGGTTAGGGTTTTCTAGGCTATATATAACAATAAAACAACACAATATATCAGATATAAATCACAGGTAAAATGTTTCTGATGAGCTTTAACCATTTGCCTTTGAGTTCCTATGGCATGGATCCAAGAATATCACACTTTTCAATTCACAAAACTATTTTGTAAGCATAAGGAACTATACAAGATTTTGTTTGAGACAGATCATTTTGAATTTCACAACAATGAATAACAAAAGGACACCTTACATGATAAAAGTGCAAAATCCATTGCGTACAATTGATAAACAGGTGAAAATGGAAATAAAAAGTTGAATAATTAACCTTGAGGCCACTGAGCAAGTATTTTCTCTTTGAGAGATGCCACAGTTGTAGTTGGACTGTACTTGCTTGGACCAATGTCAGTTCCATCAGTAAGCCTGAATTTGAGCTCCACCAATTCTTCTCCGGCCATAGGTGAAATATCTTACCTCAAACTCTCACCCTAATCTCAACAAAACCCAATTTTTGTTTTTCTTTATCCTCAATCAGATTAGCTGTTAAAAACCTCTTCCTTTTTCTGTGCTTCGAAGTTAAAAACTTTGCTTCTTCTGGAGGGAAACAAACGTTTGAGAAGAAACTACAAAAAAACCCAGATGATTCTTTTTGCTGAAAAAAAACAGTATGTTTTTAGTGGTTTGATATCTACCTAAGAGCTGGGACTGATTAGAATTCAGAAATGTAGATCGTAGAATGAACAGATGAGAGGATGAAGAAGGATCAGAAGCCTTTGCAATTTGGTGTTGAAAGAAACAATGATGAGACCACCCACATATGAACTTTTTTAAAGTGGCATTTTTTTACCTAAATCTAACAAAAAAAATCTAATGATATTATTATGTAGGATGTTAAACTTTCATTTTATCACCCTTAAGATACCCCACTAAGTTATACTCCATCAAATGAAAATATATGCAATATTAATTCATGTGGTGAATACAAAAATCATCTGTGTGAATGGGATGATGACATGTTTTACTCAGATTCTTATTCTTTTCCTTTTTTGACTTAGATATTGGATTTTATGTGAAGTGCAACTTTTGTAATGTATAAAAATTTGTAAAACAAGAAATTTCACTAGTTATGTAAAGTTTGTAATGTACAAAAATCAAAATAATGGAGAGATTATTATTGGTACTACTTATAATGATATTTGATCAACTGGATCTTGCTGACAGCAACAATAGAAGAAAATATGAATTATTTATGTGCAAGCCTGCCTTATCTGACTGGGTTTACCAGGACCACCACCACTAGTGGACTAAAGAAACCCGTAGGTTGGCACCAAGATTCATGTTGATTCACTGCCAGATTTGAAGGCCTTGAGCATAAGAATTTCATGTAAAGTTTGCAGCTATTGATGGTAAAGATAAAATCGGTGAAGGCAACTGTACACATGATTTCTGCCCGGAAAACAAAATCATACTTGAAAAACTAATAATATAGGAACGAAGAATCATTATCACAAAGATATAATTATGCATATGTCACCATTTCATGTTTAATTCCATACCTTTTACTTTATTTTAATATGAGGAGACGAAACTTGTGCAGATGCTTGGTGTTGACAGATGCTTTCGTTTTGGAACGGCAGCCACAATCCCACGTCACTAACTATGTTAACCGGATTTAAGTGTCACATTTGATATTCATATTTAAGTGTCCAAAACTGAGACCAATTCAGCTTTCTTATGTCAATGACGGATAGACTGGAAACAGTCAAAATTGAAGATTCCCGGCAAGATAACAGCAATCCTCCCCACCCCATGAACAAGGGACAGATGATGAAATTTGGCAGTCAAATTGGGAGGCGCTGTTGATTGAAGATATTAAAATGTCAAATTCTTTATCTACCATATACATTTTTTATTCCACATACCCATCTTCTGTTTGCAATTTCTTATAGGTGTTAAACTGAGAAATATGATACAAGTGCTGCTATGTCACAATATCATGCGCATCTGCTTATTTGTTTAAAAACTTATTTTTTTCCTTTGATTAATGACATATAAAAGATTCCAAAAAATTAGTGTTGAAAGAAAGACTATTCCTCGTAATCACGTTCCAATTTGTAGCTCTCAATTATTCTGTTTCTGATCAATATAACGTTGGGGTGTCAACAACTGATACATGATTGGAGAGTAGGCTAAGATTCTGTGGAAAAAAACATATGCTTTTTTGATAAGTTTTAGAGGATTTAGCATCTTTAATTACTTTGCATAATTGGAATTAGGTTCTATGACATTACAAGCTTCTACTTTCTCAACCCTTTCCCATTTATTTAACTACAAAGAATTCATCTCATAAGGATAAGAGCAAAAGTTCCATGAAACTGTAAATCAAATTTCTTTTGAGATTAGGAATATGTCTCACCCATTTCAGCTTTAAGGTAGTCTGGTTTGGCAACTTTAATCGGATGTCTCTTTTTTCGACGATCTTCAAGGTTTCATCATCAGCTAGATGAACCTTCCAAAATCACCACTGACATAGTTCTCCATGATTTCATGGCATGAGGTGGAGTGGAAAGATGCCCCTGAATCCAAGATCCATGATTCAATCAGACTGTTGACGCTTAGAATCATAGCATCGTCTGTCTCCTCTGTCATGTTGATAGATTCCTGTGCACCGGTATCTTTCTTCGGTGCTCGGCAATCTCTTTTAAAGTGACCCTTCTTGCCACAATTATAACAATTAAAATCTTTCTTTCCCGTTCTTGATTTTTCTCTTCTAGATTTCGATCTGTCACGATTTGGATTTCTTTCTGAAGTTCTCCCTCTCAACTCCGTGTGCAAGGCTGAGGAGCTTGATGCTTCACCCGATTCTCTTCGTCGATTTTCTTAACTCAATACCTGATCCCGAACATCGTCAAATTTAATTTATTGTTTCCCGACGAGCTGCTGACTGTTGTAACAGTAGCATTCCAACTGTTTGGTATAGATGATAAGAGAATTAAAGTTCGAACTTTATCATCGAATTCAATTTTCAAATAACTCAACTGGGTTGTGATTGTGTTGAGTTCATTTAGGTGTTGAGCCACTCATGCTCCTTCCGCCATCCACAAATTGAATAATCGTCTCATCAGGTGAAATTTGTTTAAGGCCGACGGCTTCTCAAACATACTGGAGAGAGCCGCTATAAGACCCGCCGTGGTCTTTTCCTTTGCTATGTTGAAAGCAACATTGCGGGATAACGTCAGTCGGATAACTCCAAGGGCTTGTCTGTCGAGAAGAGTCAAATCTTCATTTTTCATGCCCTCTGGTTGCTTTCCTGAGAGAGGTTGATATAGATTTTTCTGATACAAAAAATCTTCAATCTACATCTTCCAAAAGCCAAAATCCATACCATCGAACTTCTCAATTTTCATTTTTCCTTCGTCTGCAGCCATTGCTCCCACTCGAATCTGGCTTCTTTTGGATCATTTCTGACAATTCCTTCGAACCACTGTGTATTAGAACACCTCATTCGACAAACTCGTATTGCCGATCAAATTTTACTATTCACGAAATTTACTATTCATGTAAATAGTAACATCGCAGAAAAACCGACAAAATTAACTACAAAAAGCTCTTGATACCAATTGTTGGGAAATTAAACGAGTAATTTTCCTATAACCAGATTAGTGAGAATGCGAAATAAATGCAGAAAAATAATACCCGAAATTGATAACGGAGTTCGACCAATTATGTCTACGTCTCCAGGCTATTGCAGATCTGTTACTTAAGAGAAAAAATTTACAGGGGTTTACAAAGCACTCACAACTTACAAGAAAACTCTCTAAACTCTTTAGTATTGGGAGAAAGAAATGATTTGTGATGATTTTGAAGCTAAATGAGTTAGAATATTTATAGTTGAAGCTTAAGAACTAATCTTATAAATACTTTAAAATTCAGAGACTAATTTCAAATTTTACCCTCCCACTTTTCAATAATTACTCCACCAAAATTTTGACAATTTTTGTGCATTAATTTGCACTTTCGGTGCAGCCCTTTATTTGACTTTTAACAGAACTCACTGCTTAGACCGTCGGATTTTGGGTCAACATTTTCACGACTTTTTAGAGGAATAATTAACCAGCAAAACTTGTGTGTCAGCATCTCACCTCAAAAATATCCATGGAAATATATAAGCTCAAACTGATGAAGTGTTTTTCAGAAATAAATTCTGTAGGTTCTTTAATCAACGCAGCCAATAGTTTGCAAATTAGATACATATCCTCATAAATTATAAAATAAAAAAGTAGTACAAATTATTTATTGATTTCACAAGATGATATGTTAAATTTTTGAAATAATTTTCATAATTCAAACTTAATAAATTAAATTGAAGAATCGTCCCAAAAATTTTGTATCTATAGATTGAACCAACCAATTCGAAATTTCAATTTATAAAAAATATTAAAATATATGTTTTAAATAAGAAACAATATATTTATATTTAAATAGATTTAGATAATGTGAGCCCAGCAAAAAGGGAAAGTGTTATAGATGTCAAATGTGCTTTTAACTTTGTGTAGAAAATAAAATAAATAAAATAATATATAGATGGAATGTACAAAAATATTTTATAAGAAAAAAAATAAAAGAAAGGAAAAAAGTAATAGAGTTGTTCATGGACGGTTAACCGTATTTTTTTAACCTAAACTGTCGATTAACCGTTATAACTGTTATGAGATTTTTTAAAATGTAACCTAACTATTAAGAAACGGTTAACTGCTAATTTTTAACCGTTATTAACGGTTCGGTTACAGGTTAACCTACGGTTAACGTATTACAATTATTTGTCAAAAAAATTTAATAATTCATACTACAAAAAAATGTAGCACTTAACACTACACCGGTGTAAGTGAATAAAATAAACAAGTGTAGCACTTAACACATTCTTACACCGATGTAAGTGAATAAAATAAAAGTGTAACACTTAACACATACTACACTAGTGTAAGTGAATAAAATAAAAAAGTGTAGCACTTAATGCATACTTACACCGATGTAAGTATGTACATCTCTCAACATCTTAGTACCTAACAATAAACATATAATTATATTGGTGTAAGTATGTTTCTACATTTTCAAAGAAATAAAAAATAAAAAATAATAAAAATAAATATTAAGTTATTTGTATATAAATTTTATTAAAAATATATAATTTATAAATAATAGAAACTTATATTAAACTATTTATGTAAAAATATAATAAATTATAAATTTAATTATAAATTTAATTTTTTAACGATTAATTGTTTATCAAAATTCGTAATCGTAACCTTAACTGTTAACCATAATTTTTAGCAATTCGATTAACCAAAATCGTTTAATATTAACAGTTTGCTTAATTAATCTGTTAAGTATAACGTTTATACCGGTTAACGATTACGATTAACAGTTTCAGATTTTTCTGAACACCCTATATGTAATAGGAATTCAAAAATGAGAAAAATATATATTTCATCTCATATTATA